GGCACACTGCAGACCGCCTCGCACAAGCTGCTAAGGCAGCGCTTCCGCCTGGCATCCGCAGGAATGAATGAATGAATGGACGCAGCCTCTTGATTTATACTTTTGTGCTGCATTGGTCTGCCTTGTGTCCCTGGCCCATTGGGATACTACTACTTGCAAAGCTGTGTGATTTCACAACTTGGTTTTATGTATATCGCTCACACTCATATTCCTTGCAATGTGGCACACTCATATTCCTTGCAATGTTGTATCGGAGCTGGTTGTGATCGCCGCTTACCTGGCACTGGCGACATTGTGACTTGGTGCGCCGACGATGCTTCATGTGCAGTGAGGATAGTTTGCGCTGGTTGATTAGCGGGGCCTAGGTAGAGAGGCCGGCCGCTGGAAGGCTGTGGCGACAGCGTGGGAGCTGTGGCGACAGCGAGTGTATGCATGATGATGAGAGTATGCTGACATGGCATTTCGGCTGAGGTGGCACTGCATTGCGTTGTGGGTGGTACCGAGGCTATTGACCGGCCATCAAAATGCACATCAGCCCAATTGGTGAGAAATCTGTGGTTGGGGGCAGCTATCTCCAGGTACGTTGTTCCCATTCCTTATCTACCCTCTCAATCTCTTCTTACCGTGAGGAAGTGAGTCCAACTTGAGTGTCCTCTCTTTGGTAAGCAGTCGTGTGCGCTCTATCTTGAGAGATGACATTCTTCCCGGTGCCGCATTTGGCAGGAGAGGGCGGTGCCTCTGAAGGGCCCTGGTCGAAGCACGTTGTCACGGTCACCATGCCAACCCAATGGGATTAGTACATGCATGCGATGGCTGCTTTGTCCATTAAGGCTCTTTGCTGCGCTGATAGAAGGGGTGTGCGGACTGACCAGTCCTATTGAGACGCTCCCAGACCGTCTATGAACATTTCTGGTTGGGGTCTGAACTGTCCACTGGCTGTGATCGTCGTCCTGTTTGCGACGTTAAATAATTCCTGAGGAGATAGGGGCTCTCCTTAAATCCCTCCTGATCAGCCAGATCATTCAGACGTAAGGCTCGTTGCACGCGAGGGTAAACAAAGGGGCAGGCTGGTCATAAGCATACTTCTTGGGCACAGGGGTGGGCCGTGGTTGCACACCTTAGACACCGCAGCTTGATGATGCTCACAGGTACGTTGGATACAGGGGAAGGGGATTCCAATTGTGAACTCAACTGTACATCACTGACATATCCATTGTGCATACATCTGCTCACATTAGTCTAATTTTTATTTTTGATTGGTTGGTTGACCGGCTGCTGACGCCTAACAGACAGACTAGAGTAGGACTGTAATCTACCATAGTCAGTTCTCCTCGAATCTTCTGTGCAGACTAATCAGAATAGAGTTAGGCATCTTGCGGTAGGTTCCAGCGAGGACATTAGTGCAGACAGCGTCTGCCTAACCTATGAGTGGATCAGAGGGTGGTTAGGGTGTAGATGACGATAGGAGGTTAACAAGGTTATCATCCCTTAGAGTGTTTCAGACCCTACAATTAGAGTGTTTCAGACCCTACAACCGGGAGAAGAGAGAAGATTAAGGGTTGAAGCTAGGGCCCGTAATCTTGAGGCTGCAAGAGAAGCAGCAGCAGCTAGAGATGTAGCAATGGCTACTTCGCAGCAACTGCTGCGAACTCAACTGGTCAAGGGCTAGGCATGCCGACCAGTTCACAGTCAATCTCCAGTACGTCAGGGGTTGGCACGAGTCAAATGGCGGGCTCGCAGTTCAGCTCGCCGCCTCCACGCACTCGGGAGCAGATGGAGCTCCAACAAGTAGAGAGGATCCGCTTGAGGTTAGAGGAGGAACTTAGGCAAGCTACTGAGAGAGAGAAAGAGATCAAAGAGAGAAGCGTCAGATTAGAGGGCAGGGAGGCAGACAATGGCTGCGCTAGAGGCATTAGAGGACTCTGCACTAAACACTACAGGAAAGATCCTGAAGGCTCCATGCATGCGTACATAGACAGCAAGATGGACGCAATGCAGGATACTCTAGAGCAGATTCTACAAGCGCTTCATAAGCTAGGGATCCGGCCAGCAGCTTTACCATCGCTGCCACTCTCAGTGATGACAGGCCTTTATGCCGCTCAGTCAGGACCACCACCAAGTGTGTCATCAACAGTAGCTCTATCTCAGACTGTTGCTTCTTCATCTTCTGGTCCAGCGACTGTTGCTACACCACAGTTGCCACCTGTCTCACAACAGGGACAACAATATCCTTGGTACCCCAAGACGCCACTGAACCCACCTGCAACCTTCTCAGGAGACAAGAAGGATGAGGCTCTCGACACATGGTTGAGAACGGTGCCAGTGTGGGTGAGGGCAAAAAGGACATTGGTAGAAGAGGCGGTGATTACTGTTGCATTCTACTTCGAGGGTTCAACAGCTCGTTGGCTAAACGGATTGGTAGCTTCAAAGGGTTTCGGTAGGAACATGCATGATTGGGTGCAGACCCACACATTAGAAAGCTTTATGGACTTAGTGGAGGCTCGTTGGCAAAACCCTCAGCAGGCACAAATTGCCACAGATGGGCTCTTGAAACTTGATACTAGAAAGTACAAGTCTGTGCGGGAACTTACCACAGCCGTAGAGCGCCTGATCGTCGTCCCGGGAGTGGAGTACAATCCACAGGTCTTGCTGACCATGTTCCTGAGATGTCTTCCCACAGACATTAGGAATCTATTAGCCAGCGAGGCTCGCAGAGAGTATCACACATTTGAGTCGTTCAGCAAGAAGGCCCAAGACTTAGAGGCTACGCTGGGTGGAGCTCAAACCCCTTCTACGGATGGGAGAAAGAAGAAGATTCCACAAGAGTGGAAGAAGAAGGGTAGTCGATTGATGATGGTTGATTCTCATGATTCCCAGAGATCGATGATGTTTTCGATCTTGTGGAGGGTTCAAAGTTTGATGGCGAGGAGAGTGTTGAGGGTAGCAACCTCGCCGCCGTAGTCAAGACTAAGGCAGCTGGTCGCGGCAAGGGCGGTCAACAAAGGAGTCAGGGGCAGGCCGCTAACCCAAACAAAATAGTTGCTTGGGTTAGAGTAGGTCTGGATCAAGAAGTGTGGCGGGACCGTTGGTCTCGTGGTGCTTGGATTAACTGCGGTGAGTATGG